TGGGCAAAAGCTGTCATCTCCCCTCTAAGTGTGGCTGGAAACATGGACAAATTCAGAGGAGGGTGAAAGGGGCTGAGGGAAGTTGGATGGTGGTGATGCACAGGGGATGGGGACTTAGGGATGAGAAGTGAGTCTTGTCCCAAAGGCCGGGGTCAGTGGGGATGGGGTTGGTTGTTGCCGTGCTCTTGAGGACAGCACAGGTGGAAGGGGACGCCTGGAGAGCAATCCCACCACGTGCAATGCCACCCAAATACCGTCCTTCGTTTGGTTTTATGATTTATTTCACGTTTCATGGTTTTCTTATCGACTCTGTGAGTGACCATGCGGGCGTTTCTCTCCCTCGCTCAGGCCCCGGCGCGGTGCACGACGGGAACAACGGCGCGTGGCGACGAGGAGGCTGCGTGTGGCTCCTGCTCCTCCCGCTCGCCCAACTCGCCCGCCAGTTTTGACCCGAGAGCCGGCCCGCGGAGTAGCGGCGGCGACGACCACGGCCAGCGAGAGAGCAAGCAGAAAGGAGAGGAAGAAGAAGAAAAAGAAGAAGAAGAAGAAGAAGAAGAAGTGTTCACCGTTTCCGAAAATAATCATAAGAATTGAGAGAGTATCCGGCCAGGCCACCTGGGGGAGGGGGAGAGAGGAAAAAACACGTGCAAAAAAGAAAAAAAAAAAAAGAAAAAAACCACAACGGGAATTTGGAGAGAAAAGGGGAAAAATAATAATAATAATAATCCAAGGCTTCCTGCTGAAGACGCAACGCGACTGAGTCTTTTTCTTTTCACCCTATTTTTTTTTGGGGGGGGTCTCCCGCCCCTTTTTCCCCCCTGTTTTTGCCGTTCTCTGCCGTGGGCCAGCGCGGAGGATGGACGGGGCCATCGGAGTGTGGTGCTTCAACCCCCCTGCCCCGTCCCTGTCACCGCCCCTGCCCGCCTGCTCCCTCCCGTGGGACCCTCCATCTGGACACACCAGTGTTCTCCTTTGACAAGATTTCCCCTCTTCTCATGGACTGTGCCGCCATTTGTGTTTCAGAATATATATATATATATGTATATACCCACGTATACATATATGTATATGGATAGATATATAGATCTTCAACAGTTACCACGCCGCCACAAAGGGAAAGGGAGGAAGGAGACCGGCGTCGAGCCACGCTTTCATCCTACCATCCGCGGACATCGTGAATGATAAGGGATTCTGAGTCATGGTTAATTTTATTAATTGTATTTTCTGATACGAGCCTAGAACTCTTAGTTCCTAAAAAACAGAAATGCAAAAAAAAAAAAAAAAAAGAGGGAGGGGAAAAAAAAAAAAAAAGGAAAAAAAAAAAAAAAAGAAACAATCCAGGAGAGTGGGAGCAAGTGGAGAGAAGAAGTTTGTTTGCCGAGGAGGCGACCGGCCGAGGAGGTTTGTGAGCCCGGCGAAGAGGAGGAAGAGGAGGAGTCCTGTGCTGAAACCCCCCAAAACCGGCCCAAAAAGCGGTCGTCCGGACAGTTCCTGCCGAGGGCACGGGCGACGCTCACCATGCGTCGAGGCGGAGGGAGACGCTGAATCTTTTTATGGGATATATATATACAGTATATATAAATATACATATATATATATATAATTTTTTTTTTTTTTGTTAGAGTTCTAGCCACGGTTCCCCAGCAGGGTCCTTCCGCTGCCATTACTGCATGCTGTATATGGAGTTAGGTGTGTATCGGTCCTCAACGAGACGAGGCGAGCGTCTCGGTCCACGCGTCCCCAAACCCCCTCGTCTTTCCGCCCTCGGGGACAAAGGGTGGCGGGGGGACCGGGGCCCCCTCTCCGTCGCTTTTCGCCGCGTGGCCCCGGCCCCTTGGCGGCGGAATGAAGTGAACCGAGGGACAGAGGGAGATCTATATAGCTCAGTTTTATATTTTTATATATATATATATATATGTGTATGTATATGTGTGTGTGTGCGCGTGCGTGTGTGTGTATGTATATATATATATATAAAAAATAACACTAGTAAGGAAAAGAAGGTGAAGCAACCGGCTCCTGGCCGAGCCCTCTGCCGAGACGTGGGACTGGTCGACTCGCCGTCCGTGTCGGTGGGGGTCTCTCCTGCGGTCGGTTTTCCTCCTTCCATTTCCTTTCCTTCCCTGCAGCCGGCGGCGGGGGGCACGCGGGGGGCAGGCGGGCGGCGAGGGGGCTCTCTCTGCCTATCCATTAAAACGATTGTTCCATGTGGCCGCTCCGTCTGGTTGTGGTGCTCATTGCCGCGGGGGCCAGGGCCACCCCGCGTCCTCCCCTCGCGCCACCGGGAACGGGGAGGGCCGTGGGAAGGGATGCTGGGGGGGGAGTGACAGATGGGGGCACTGAGACATCGCAATGGGCTGGGAGAGCGTTGGAAAGGCGGCACCTGGACCTTGTCGGTGAGCCCAGCGGGAGTGCTGTCACAGGTAAGGCTTTGGTGAGTAGATGGAGAAGGTGTGAGGCACAGCTGTGCCCTATTCCCCCGGCCAGGACCCTGCTCAGTGTCCCAAAAGCTCATTGTTTGGCTCTCTGCCCCAGCAGCACAGCGTTGCAGGGGATGCTCGTGGAGCAGCAGAACCGAATCCTGCGTGGGAAGGAGAGACAGCCAGGGAAGGAGAGAGGTGGGTGTAGGAAACCAGGTCGCCCACGAAACGCTGTACAGGCGAAGCATGGCAGGATGGAGTTCGGGTGTAGGTGAAACTTGCTGTCTCCAGGGGCTTATCTTGGTCGGTGTCTTGGTGTTTTGGTGATGTGCAGGTTGCTTAGTGCGTTTGGTCCTCAGCCTTGGGGTGCTGGCTGCTTCAAACCATCCGGCACATTTGTAGGATCAGAAGTTGATTGTTAGTGATGGCAGGACAGTTTTGTGTGGGTTTGCTATTTCTTGACCCTACGATAAGTTTGTGCCACCCAGGAGATGAGCACGGAGAAGAGGGAGAGAGCGAAAGGGATGGGAAGGAGTTGCCTCGAGGTGTGACGTGCAGTCTCTGAGCGATACCGGTGTAGGGTAAGGGAAAAACCACATTCAGGCTTTGTGGCACATCCCAAGTAAAGGATGGGGTACTGAGGGTGTGGGGACCAGACAGCTGAGCACAGGCAGAGGTGGTGTTGGTCTTTGTTCAGGTCCTGGGTCTCCCAGGCCGGGCCAGCCAGCCACAGCAGAGCAAACCTGGCAGAAGAGGCAGTGCCCCAATGCTTGGGGGATGTGGGGAGGGATCCAGGGATAAGTATGGAGGTAATGGGTCTCTCTCCTTCACCTCCTTTCTGTAATTGTAACTTTTTTGGTGTTCTAGGTGAGAGATCAAGGAGTGTCCAGTGCCAGAGTAGCAGACAGAGGATGTTAGAGAGAGAGAGAGGCCCCTCGAAGGATGTGTTTATGTATTAATTTATTGACATAGGTAAGGATGTCTTGGTGGTGGGGATGGAGGTTATGGCCTGAAATATGCTCTCCATCCCTCTGGATGTAGCAGCTGAGGTCCTTGTCCTTAGGCACAGGTTGGACATTGCTGAGGGCCATGGAGAAACATCCCCCTCAACCCAGGAAAGGGAGATGGGGGGTATCCACGACCAGGCTCGCAGTGGAAAGGGGCTGCATCTCCTCCCTGGTGCTCTGTGACAGGGACAGTGCAGACAAGGCATAGAGATGTGCCATGAACCAGAGCATTTGGCCATCTGTAGGTGTTTCTCTCCAGTGGAGGCAGGTCCAGCACCAGGTACCCAGCAGAACGAGCACTTTAAGATGGGAAGCATCAGGGAGGCCCAGATTGTGGTGGGATCCCAAGGTGCCACAGGCAAGAGGCCAGTGTTGCTTTGTGGCACCGGTATTTATATTGCATCAGCCTTGGCTCCCTGATTGGTTGGTTTTTTTGGAAGAGGCTCAGAGCACAGAGCTTCCCACGGTGGTCACCCGTGCCTGACTCACTGCAGGTAACAGTGAGGAAAGCAGGCAGGGTCGTTTGCCTCTCCCACATCCCTTTCTTGGGGAGGCCGTTGGGTTTTGGGAAGCACTTACCTTTCTGCAGGGGTCACTCGAGGGGGACAGCAGAGGTGTCCCTGATGTGTGAGGCTGCACCACTCATGGTGCTGGGATGGAGCTGTTTGCTCAGCAGGGCAGCTTCTCGTGGGGTTCGGGGATAAACTTTCAGGACTGGGCTTTTCATTCTCATGTTGAGGAGGTGAAGGGAGGTCTCAAAGTGAGTGACACCCTGATAGGTCTGGCACAGTCACACAGCCTCCAGTCTCCTGGCAGCAGGTCCCACATTAGAGGAGCTTGTTGAGTGTTTTTTCACAGCTGATGTGGTGGAAAGGTGGGGAAAGTTGATGGGGTGGAAGAGAATCCCCTGGGTGCGGGGAGCACAGCCTGCCTCCCCAGCCCCGTGGTTTTAGGATGAGATTACAGCCGTGTCAGGAAGATGCTGAGGGTCGCAGCTCCCTCTGGTCCTGGTCCTTGCCACCTTTGTCCTTTGATGAAGGTGTCTGGTCTGTGTCAGGCGCTGTCAGATCACGACAGGAGCAAACCACCCTTGGGAGTGCGTCATGCACAAAAGTGTCCCTTCACGGGTGGGGGAGTTTAGCTGTCAGCAAGTGTTGGTACAAGACAGTGGAGAAGACGCTGGGAATGGCTCAGGCATGGAAAAGAGGCCCCTGATCACTCTGCTTCTGCTGAACGTAGGTGAGTGATGAGAGCAAAGACAGTCCTTACCCTGCAGGGGCTCTGTCAGCAGGTATGTGCTCATCGGCAGACGGAGGATGGAGGTGGGTGGGACCTGGGACCCACTCGTGGATTCCCAGGGGAGATGCATGGATGGGGTGAGGGATGGCCCAAACAACCCCAGCTGTGGGGCTCCAAGTGTCACCATCACGGGGGATGATCAAAAAAGGGTCCAACCAAGTGTTGGATGAGACTACAGGACCCACTTGGGAGCCCTCCTGGCTCAGCACACCGGGTGCCAAGCACCACGACCCTCCCTGGGGTGTGCGGGGTCCGTGAAGCAAAGCCCCGAAGGTACAAAGTTCGTCAAACTTTATTGATACACTGCACAATCACAACCATCTCTTATTCTTGCCGAATTAGAAAAGGTTACAACTACAATGTAACATGCACAAATCTCAGGTAGTATAGCCACCCTTGGAATACAATGATCGACAGAAACTCAAGACTGGCCGTCGTGGCCATCAGCAGGAGAGACCCAGGAGCCACGCTGCCCCCGCCCTGGGCACCCGGCCACCCCCCGGGCATCCAAACATGGAGAGCAGTGGTCACAAAGGGGTCTGACACCCAGCAGGGTCGGCCTCAGACAGCCAACACGTTCCTCACAATGGCACGTTACATGGCACGAGAAAGTCGAACGCCGTCCCGGCAGAGGACAGGGGAGCTGAGCCCACCTGACCCGGGGAGGAGAAGGATGGGATGGGGGGCAGCCCCGGTGCCAGGTCCGCCAGCCTCGGTGTGCGTCGTGGCGTCCCGTCATCGCCGCCACTCTCTGGTATGCCGCGGCCTCTGGCCCTGGGATTCTGCAGCATTTCTGCTGCAGGGACAGAGAAACTTGGGGCTGACCCAGGAAGGGGCAGGGGGAGGCAGCGGGGGGCTGTTGTGGGGCAGTGCGGACTAGTGAAGGCATCAGGGCAAGGTGTCTCCTGCACCCAAGGGTACTTCTGGAGCGGGCACGTGGGGAAGGATGTGCGTGTCGCTGGCTGAAGACGGTGCCATCCCCGCTCAGTAAACATGCCCGGGGCCGTGGGAGAGGACCCAGATCGCTGCCGGTGCCACCTTCCCGGGATGCCAGTGGAGATGCAGAGCACCGCAGGGACCGCAGGACGCGGACTCACCCAGTCAGTGCCGGATCCCCGTCCATCAGGTAACCCAGCGTGTCCCGCCAGCACCAGGGCAGCCCCCACCTCGAGCCAGGGGGGTTTGCCCATCAGCCATGGTATATGTTGAACATCCAGGATGGGGGGTGGGAGCATCCATTGAGATTTTGTAGCAGGTCCTGGGGCAGCCCGTTGAGAGCAGGGATGAGGAGGGGCACAGCCGCAGAGGGGACGGGGTGGTGGCCCATCATGGCCTCTGGCTTGGGCTGGTTTTTTCCATCTTGTGTGCTAAGGACTGTCACCCCAGCTTCCTCGCAGCCATACAAAGCAGGAGGATTGGGCAGCAGAGGAGTTTGCGCAGGGAAGACAGCGTGTGCGTGGCCATTGCCCTTAAGTCATCTCACTTATGGAGGGAGAAGGGAGGGACAAGGCACAGGGATGCAGCGGGTCAGGACAGGGGATGCTCCGTGTGCTTGCTCAGTGCCTCGCTGTAATCAGGTCTCCCTGTCAGAGGAATAGGGTCTGGTGCGACATGTGACTTTTCAGGAGCAGGATGGGAGTGCTCATCCCCAGACTGTGGCCCCAAAGCATTCCTGGGTGGCCAGGGAGCTTCGGGAAGGCTCAGGGCTGCCACAGTGTACCAGGCGAGGGGGTCCGTGGTGCACGGTGCCATCAGGAGCACAATTCCACATGCAGGGAGGTGACATGGCCACCATCGCCGGCAGCATCCAGAGTGGCTGGAAGAAGCAGAGGGCAGAGTCTGGGTGCATCCATTTTGGTGTCATGGGCATGTCATAGCAAGGAGGATCACAGCTGTTCTTGTCCCTGCTGTGCCAGTGTAGTAAAGCGACGGAGCCTGAGCTGCCTCCACAGGGTCGAACACATCAGACTTTCCTCAGGCAGGGGCACGTGATGGGCACGAGAGAAGGCAGCATGAGGACGTTGCAGCTCAGGGCCCTCAGAGAGGCAGAGATGCAGACAGTCAGAGCGTCAGAGCCGCAGCAAAAGGGCCTTGTCAGCTGGTGTTTCGCTGTGTCGTTCCGGAGCCTCTGCCCCGCATTGGTGGTGCTGTGCTTTTAATGTGCAGGTTGGAAAGTGCTTGGAAAACAAGCCCAGAGGAACCTCCTCAAAAAGTGCTGGCAGCACACCACGGCAAGAGCCACAGGGCAACCCCTGCCATCAGGGGGGCAGCAGCAGAACAGGCAGGGGTCTGGAGCAAGAAAGGGCGATGACCTGGCTGTCTGATGCAGCAAGAAGGTTCTTAGTCCCCATGAGGGGCTGGCGTCATCCCCAGGGCTCACATTCCTGGGAGAGCAGCCTTGTGCCCTCGGGAAGGCGACAGGGTTTACTGGGAAGCAGACAGGTACGATGTTAGCTGGGAGAAAGAGTAGTGGGAAGTGCCTGACCCTTGAAGGACAACTGGTTGTGTCCCCTGCCCCTCTCCAAAAGGGCCAGTGAGTGTCGTGTCAGGAGCAGAGGCAGATGAGGGGAGGCCAGTGACATCGGGGGTGCTTAGGGAGGAGCTTTGGCGACAAGAACTGACATTCAGGACCAAGAGGGCTGAAGGCAGAGCCAGGGGGCTTCAACCTTGGGGTCTTTTTGGGCGTAGGCGGCTTAGTGAGACGACGAGACGGACATCCCCGGTGAAGGCTCTGGGCGGCACCCGCCCCGGCGGCTCCGCACCAGAGACGAGGAGCACCGTCCGTGCCGGGCCATGTCCCCGGGGCGGCGGTGGCGGGTGACAGTCTGGTGGCACGTGGTGGGGTCTGTACAGCGTTAACTGGCGGCGAGAACGATCCCGGCACGTGGGAGACGGGGCCATCCTCGGACGCTCGGCACCGCCGCCCGTCCTCCGGCGCATCGCCCGTCCCGCGGAGAGGAGTCCCCGGGCGGCGCGGCGGGCAGGGCCCGCGGCGGGGGAGAGGCGCGCGGGGCCTCCCGGGACCCTCCGCTCCCTTATCAAAAGTCGAGGAGGAGGAGGCGAGCGAGGAGGGTGGCCCAGAGGCAGAGGCCGGCAGCCAGCCGGGACGCCGCGTTGCCGCCGTCGTGCACCGCTCCGGGCCCTGCGCGGGGGAGAGGAGACAGACAAAGGACAGCGGTGAGGTCAGTGGTGAGACAGCGTGAGAACGTGCAGGAAAACCCACCTCCCCACTGCCCCCATCCCCTTCACATCCCACCCCCTCGGCTGTGCTCCCCCTTTGAGGGGTGGGGGCTTTGTTGGTTGTTTGGAGAGCGTTGTTGGTGTGGAGGAGGAGTTGAGGAGGCAGGCAGAGAGCTTGAGGAACATTGTAGGGGAGGCACAGTCCTTGTCTGAGGAGGAGGAGGATGCCCTGGGCAGGTGCCAGTCCACCCCACCACGCTCAGAAGTTGCCCCCCTTGGAGAGTCCTGGTGCAAACAGCCACGTGAGAGCCACCAGGAGCAGAGACCTCGGTGCTCAGGAGTGGCACAACTTGTGCCCAGCCGTGAAGGATCCCTGGCCCAGGACATGGCACTGTCCAGATGTGGAGTCTCAGGTAGGCAGGTGCATTTTGGGGTGGCATCACTGGGCGTTTCTTGGCAGGCAGGCCAGGCAGGGAGGAGGTTGGTCATCCGGGTTCGTGGCTGGAGCAGAGGTTTGCTGCACGTTCTCGGATGAGGGCTGTTATTTGGGAAAGATCTGGGCTGAAGGGCACACAAGGGACCAGTCAGGATGAGATGAGACAGCCGAGCAGAGTGAGGGAAGTGGAGCAGACACAGGTCTGCCTGGACTCCCTATGCCTGGGGAGAGGTATTTTGGGAAGTTGCAGGTCTGAGCCCCGGTACTGGAATTCTGAAAGGGAAGAAATAGAGAAACAAGTGCTGAGCTGTCTCAGCCTCAAAGCTCAGGGCATAGACAAAGTGTGAAGTAAATGGGATTTTTATCCAATAATGAATATGCTCCCAAGCCTGCAGTCAGCCACTTGGAATGTGTTCATCATAGAATCAATGGAAGGTCTGGATTGGAAGGGACCTTAAAGCCCATCTCATTCCACCCCCTGCCATGGGCAGGGACACCTTCCACTAGCCCAGGTTGCTCCAAGCCCCGTCCAACCTGGCCTTGGACACTTCCAGGGCTGGGGCAGCCACAGCTTCTCTGGGCAACCTGTGCCAGGGCCTCCCCACCCTCACAGGGAACAATTTCTCTCTAACATACAATCTAATTACACCCTCTTTCAGTTTAATCCATTCCTCTCTGTCTTACCCCTCTGTGCTCTTGTCAAAAGTCCCTCCCCAGATCTCCTGTAGTCTCTTCCAAATGAAATAATTCTGTGATCTATGAAATTATATCCAGTTACACTAAATTCTGCAGGATGGTGTCACTCCTTGTCTTTTTATCTACTGATTTCTTTGTGAACATTTATCTTATTTCAGGAAGAGGCAAAAGAGAGCCCAAGATGTTAAATCCAAGCCCTGCCAGAAGGTAAAGAAAATGATGGGAAGATTGAGTGATGAGCAAGAAGTTGTGTCATGCCCATGCTCAAAAAAATTGATTGTAAGAGCACATGATAATACAAGAGGTGTAGAACTGCTCTGCCATAATCAGACATTTCCTTGCTGAATAGACCTTGTGATATAAAAGGTGGAACCTCCAGCTATTTGTTAGAGGCAAGTAGAGCCTTGCAGGTAGAATGGAAAAGGGCTTTTGAGCTTGGTTTTCCCTCAGATCTGTTGTTGCTCCCTCTTCCTTTTTTTTTTGTCTCCTCAAACTAATGGTAGCACATCATGCAAATCTATAAAAATAATGAAAATCGATGCAGATTTAATAATAAATGCTGCTTAGACTTAACCTTTTATGTATTTACACCTACTCGAATCCTGCTAAATCTGTACCTTTCTCTAACAGTTTATCCATACCTTTATCTATAGATGTGGATTTTTAATGTGTGACTAATTCTCATTACTGTTTTCTAGTTCACAGTTCTGCACCGGTTATTGGCTTTGATTTAATGATGCTTTTTAGAAGTCTCATAATCTATCCTAAAACAATCACATCCTAGTTGAGTTGGAGAGTTCCCAAACAGATAAGTCAGAGAGGAAATAAACTGAAATACTGGGTCATAACTAGAGAAAAAAAACCCACAAATATTTTCTCTTTACTCTATTCTTTGCTGAGAAAGAATTTATCCTGTTGTCAGACAGCTTGGCCTTGTAAAGATTGTAAAGATACTCTACAGGAGAGAAAAGCATAAAGATACAGGGACAAAAATAAAGGAGTAATTAGAGATGATCATGAAATTTAGGCAATGTTTCATTTCATCATGTGCCTCCCGTGTGTCCTGTGAACTGCCACATTAGATGGGAAGAGGATGGTTCCCACCAGGACAAGGAGAGGAACACAGGACTTCAGCTGAGCTTCCCAGCAAGTATTTTTGGCTCTGCTTTGCTAAAACCCCTGTGACTGGGCACTGAGGTGTGAGTGTACCTGGATTCTGGCTGCCCCTACTCAGCTTATTTATTATTGCAGATATTTACTGTTGCTTGGTTTTATTTTGTTCTTCTTCATTTATTTTGTGTCCTCTTTCCTCCCCATTTCCTTCCTTCTCCAGAAGGCAACCTTAGACTGTGAGAACTTGACCCGAGTAAAGATGGCAAGACTAGGATTTTGTCTCTCTCATAAGACCTTGAATACAAAGAAGGAATCAGTGGGTCTAATGATGAGTGAGGTTTCTTAGCCTGTGTTGGAGGCACTCTCAACTCCAGTGGGAGCTGTAGGAATGGCCCAAATGCTTTCAGAGCTAAGCAGTCCCTTGACATGCACCAAAAAATAGCTTTTCCTTTCTTTTCCTGCCTCCTTTCTGTCCCAGGAAAGAATTCCCACGCCTTCCATTTCCATCCTCCCAGTTTCAGGCAACATCCACCTTTCTCCAGGTGAGACTGAGACACGTGGAGATGAAGAATCTAGAACTTATCTCTCACTGCTTTATATTTTCAGGACTCGTGACAAACGGGAAGGGAACGTGCCCACACCCACGGTGCTGCTGGAGCCCCTCTTTCCCAGGGGGCTCAGGGAAAAGGCAACAGCTGCTCTCCACTTCCCATGGTCCACAACAGCAATTAGTGAGGGAGAGTCTGTCCAATGATTCACGTCTGAGGACATAAGGAAGTCTTGGGGACCGGCTGGGGGGAAGCCTGTGCAGTGACTCACATCTGAGGGTATATGTGTCTAGACTAAGTCTTGGCAACCTCCCCAGGATGAGATTTTCCTGACATTTTCCCTCAGGTAAACACATGGTCCTTGAAGGATTGTCTCTGCTCGTTGCAGGGGAGTTAGAGTAGATGACCTTTAAAAGGTCCCCTCCAACTCAAACTATGATTCTTTGAAGACTCCAACAGAGATGCTAAAACAGGGAGCCAAAGAGGTGGCCTCTTGCACACAAAAAGGAAACACATCTTAATCAAGATCTAAGGCTTGTCACAAACACAGAGCCAGGAACACTAAGGGAATGTGAGCAGTGACTGTAGGTAAGAATTTTGTAGCTTGGTATAATATATATCTATTATCTGTAGCATCTAGTAGCATAGCCAGCAATTAGCATTTTATGAAATAGTTAAGGAAAAGACATACATGGAGTAAGTAGCACAAGGAGAAAGACAATTGCAGGTGTGAAATACAGGGGTCAAGTGGAAATAAAGTGTGAAGGAGAGAAAAAAAACCCCATGTATAGTAGGCAGAGAAGATAAATGGTGAAGCCAAAGTAACCCCACAGGGTAACAGGGAATATGCTGGGAAAAACCCACAAAACAATTCAGTGAAGAGGAAGTGAGTTGTCCCCTGTCCTTTCACAGGAAAAAGGAGAAGAAGAGAACATCAATAAATACTAAGGAAGAAAGAAGAAATCCTACTTCAGCTCTGGCTTTCAACATCAAGAAGTGAAGGAAGCTCTTCCCCCTCACCTCCAACAGCTGCCTCCCTCGTACCAGCACTCCCCTGTTTGAGACTTGTGGCTAATTTAGGCCAAATTTATTAAAGACTCATCATTTACCTGTGTATGGATGATGATTAAAGCCTAACCCTGGGGGGTGATGTGTGCTGTTGGTGACTGTCAGTCCAGTAAAGCCTGGTTTAAAGTTTCAAACAGTGTTGGTGTGTTTTAATTATATCCCCAAATCTTCAGGTGCTACAGGTGAAGGTAAAGGTGGGTATGGACAGAGGGACACAGAGATTCAGGAGCCAGAAGAGACTGAGCTGGAGAGCTTTGTTCTGCTCCAAGTGCTCAGTATCTACATCTCCTCCTGCTAAAACTGGACGAGAGAGGAGCTCCTGTGCAGACAAGCCAGGAGGTGCTGGTGCACAGAGAGTAGGGGCATGGCAGAGTCAGGGGGCACAGCCTGGGAGGGGGCCAGGGGAGGGTTGGGGAGCCCGTCATGAGCAACTCATGGTGCCAAAGGAACTCAGAAGTCGCCAGGAGAGCTGGGACTGACATGACAGCAACCACAGCACCCAGGAGTGATGGAGAGCAGAACGTGGGGGCTCCTTGGGATGAACCGTAACAGGGACACAAGCTCAGAGTCAAGGTCTGGACACAACACTGGAGTAAGTGACCCAAAGTAATCCCAAGGGCAAACTGGTTGAACTCAAAGAAGCACAGCATGGTCCCCAGAGATGGAACTTGAGCTCTAGTAATCCCAATGACCCATAGTGACTCCAAAATGACCTGGAGTAACCCCAGAATGACCTAAAGTAAGCCCAAAATGCTAGTTTATTGACCTCAGGTAAACAGCAAAGTTCTCTGCAGAGAGCAAGTTTGACCTGGAGTAACCTCAATGACCCAAAGTAACCCCCAAATGACCTACAATAACCCCAAAATGACCTAAAGTAACCCCAAAATGCTAAATTTTTGACCTAAAGTAACCCCAAAAGATCTCTGCAGAGAGTGGGTTTGACCTGCAGTAACCCAAATGACCTAAAGTAACCCCAATGACCCAGAGTAACCTCAAAATGACCTAAAGTAACCCCAAAATGACCTAAAGTAACCCCAAAAT